TGTCCCTGGTGGTGCCACGTCGGTGCAGGCTGTGCTGTGAGCACCAGTTTATTAATAATGCATTTCTGGGTTTAGTCCAAGACTTTCAATCAGTCCCTTCTTAGTGATAGACCATGTGACTGCTACTTGCTCATTTAAAATATGCTTGTTGTGTCAGTGATGGCTCCCTACTTTCTCTGTGTCTTACCCAGCGGCCTTGGGAAGGATTGGGACAAGGCAGCCTTCCCCTCCCCCCTCCCGCCCGTTCACACCCCTCAGAAAGCCCACAGAGAACCCTCTTAAAGGAGCTGGGACTCTTCAGGATATGAGCAGAGCCCTCAGGATGTGAGTGACGCAGAGGCAGCTGGGAAGGAACCATGTGCTGAGACACCCTGTGCAAAAGGAAAGGCCTCTGTGTGTGTGCACACGTGTGTGCACACGCGTGCACACACACGTGCATACACTTATTCTGGAGATGCTGCACATGCATCGGCCTGTATGTGGGGCTGGAGGACACCCACAGAGAACCTGGCTGCGCTGGAATGTGTGAGCGCTGGTGTCCAAGCCGTGGATCTGCACGTTAATAGTACCTGTGGGAGGTACTATTATCCCACTTTACAGATGAGGAAACTGAGGCACAGAGAGGCCATACAGCTTGTAAGTAAGTGGCAGAGTCAGGATTTGGCTTTGGCATAGATGTTGAGTAGTGTCCCAAGAGGCTGGGTGCAGGGCCTGGGGCAGGGACTGCAGGACAGGGACAGTGGGGAACCCACAGGCGTGAGTGAGTGTAAGGCAGTCATGAGGACCCTGCTTCTGCCAGGAGAGCTTGGGAGGCACCTGCCCAAAGTTGCAGTGACAGCAGGGGTGGGCTGCCACCCGGGCCCAAGAAAGCCCTGCCTTTAGCTTGGAATGCCTCGGCCCCCAGACTCTGGCCACTACCCGCCTTCATACCCCTGTGTCCTAACTGTCCACTCTCTTAGACCCTCTGCTCAGCTGAGTGGCCTCCACCACCTTGCCCCTCTTCCCTTCCATGCTCCTGTTCCTGGCGCAGCCTCCTGGGAACCCGGTGTGCATTGAGGCCCAGCCTGGGGGAGGGGATGGTACGGCCAGTGCTGCCCAAAGCCCCTGCTGACCTCCCTGGCTGGCCCTGTCTGCCAGTGCTTGCACTGGCTCTGATAGCTTGATGAGACTTGCTGCTGCCAGGGCAGCCCTTCTGCCATTATCTTGGACAGCTAATGCATTTTTATAGGGCTGTGTGTATCTCCTCATGAAATGATAAACCTCAGAGGCCAGGAGCTGGGCTGTGTGCCCAGGAAGGCTCCATGGGCTGGATTTGTGGGCCCCAGGGGAGGCCTAGCAGTGCTATCCCTGGAGACACCGTTACTGCAAATCTGGGCCTCAGAATCGGCTGTCTCTGCCCCATTAGTCATCTCCAGGCTCTGACAAATGGGCCTGCCCCTCTGTTGCAGCAGTAACTACATTCACCTCATTATTCACAGCACAGACACTCCCAGGTTACTTAAAGGTTCTCATTTATGCCTGGATACAAAGCATTTTCTGCCCATGTCTTGCTTGTGAGAAATTTATAGGCTAGGATATTAGAGGAATGGCCGTGTGGAGGACAGCTCCAGGGACCACAAAGCAGCAGGGAATCTGTGATTCTGGCAGCAGGGATAGGGGCAGACCCCTGTCCTTTCGCATTCCTTCTGCTGCTGGGGGAGGGGGTGAGGGCCACTTGCCTAGTTGGGGTGCTCCCCACCCCATCCCCCATCCAGGTAAGCAGGAGGGAGCAGGGGCGGTTAGACGCAGCACCACACCTGTGCCGCACGTGAGAGTCACAGACTGACTGAGAGAGCAGGCAGAGGGGGTCGCTGGGGTCATCAGCGCTGCTGCAGTCCTCTGGTGGATAGACTGGTCATGTCTAGCAGTTTTGTTTTGGTTCTTCATAAAATCTGCGTGTTCTGTGAGTTCATCTTCAGTGTGTGTGGGGGGGTGTAGATGCATGTGTATGTGTGTACATATATATGTATACGCATGTGTGTTGTGTGCATATGTTTGTGTGCACATGTGTATGTGTGCCCGCATGTACCTGTATATATGTGCATTGTGAGCATGTGTGTACATATATGCATCTGTGTGTGTGTGCGCACGCATATGTGCAGATCCTGGCTGGCCTGGGTTGAGGGTGCAGCTGCCCAGTTTGGCTTTGTGTCTGCTCCTCCCAGGTTCTCCAGGGGCCACCGGTCAGGGACCAAGTTTTCTGTTCATTTCCTGGCTTGGGGATTTCCAAACCATGCAGGTGGTTCACACTTGAACCTGAACCCCATGAAGGGCACACCCATGCTGTGAAATATGAGGGAATGTTTTCTATTTTTTTCCCAGAGCCCAGGCAAGCTTCCCGATTGCCTCCTTGGATGCTCATGAATTTTCTCCCAAATCGACCCCTTTGGCTGAGGGTGCATCCCTGCCCAGGCCCCAGCTTTGTGGGGGAGAGTGGGGGTCTCAGTTCTAGTCTCCTATGTCTTGTGTGCCCGAGGCCTTGTCACTGTCCCCACATGGCAGCGAAAGCCAAGGCCTCAGGTTCCCAAGACTGCCAGCCCCCTCTTCCTTTCCGGCCTCACTTTTTCCCCGTCCTGTGAACTCTGCTTTATTGTACTTCATGCAACACCTCTGAGTGTTGGAGGTGGGAAGGTTTCCGGCTACGTGCGCTGCCATCATGTCATTGTGACTGAATTTGGCCATAGATTTGGGTCACTCAGTAGTTAGGCCCCTCGCCTGGCTCCGTGTATCGTATTTTCTCTAAAGGTCTACAGGCGTCTTTATTCAGTGTCTTTCTGTTGCCGCCTGGGTCTGTGAGTCATCCGGTGGAAACCGGGTGGCTCTGCTGCTGCAGTCTGACCTTGTGACCTGTGCTTGCCGAGCGCCGACCGAGCTGTGCAGAAGCCTCCTGTGAAGCATGTGGCTCTGTCTGAAGCATCCTCTCCTCATCCCCCCTCCCCTTGAAAATCAGAAATATGTCAGACTCCCATCTTTCCACAGCCTCCCCCCCTCCGCCACCCCGAACATGGGCACCACATCCCAGGCCCAAGAACCCAAAGAGAGGGTCTGCTGAGGCCTGTGAGCAGAAAACGTGGGCCTGTTGCATCCGCCTGTTATTGCCACCAAAGCACTGGTTTGTCGTCACGTCATGTCAGAAAACTTTAACACAGAATTAGGTGCTGAAGTCCAAGTTGAAGAACTTCAGACAGGAAACTTAATTTAGAAACAAAATCAGGTGCTGAAGTTCAAGTGGAAGAACTTCAGACCCTTTTATGCCAGAGTAAATTTCCAGCGTGGCACGTTTCTCCTCGTCTTTTCAGCTTTTCCTGGGGGGGTGTGGAATTGTCCACGTGACTGGCAGAATCGACCCAGTGCCGGCTGCTGCCGTTTACAGGTGAAAACTGGGTCAGCCGGTCCTTAGTTTGGTGCTTCCATAAGCTGTTCCTTTTACTCTAAATTACTTTTTTCTTAGCCATAAGCAATGAAGACTAGAAACTGAGTAGATCGTACAGTAAGAGAAACGCCTGCCGCTGAGACTAGCTGCAGGAGGGAACCAACCTCACCCCGTTTCGTCGGGCAGCATGTCTGTTGTCCTCTCATAAGGACAGTCCCTGCCCCAACAGAGGCCCGCTGTCCCTATCACTTGGAGAATGGCCGTGCGGCCCTCTGAGGCCTGCTTCTGTCTGGGCAAAGCAGTCTCTCAAAGCTAAGGGAGCGCCACTGCTCCATGGTGTGTCCGGCATCTTCCATCCGACGTGGGCTCTCTCTGCAGAGTCCTGGTGTGTCGGCAGGAAGCAGAGGCAGTGCAGAACCCGTGGTGCTCACAGACTGCCTGCTGGGGCTCGGCACAGGAGGGCTTGCTACATGGAGGAACATGCTGTGCTTTGGCCACACCCCCGGCCGTGACTTGGTCTTACCATCCGCGGTCTCTGGGTCTGAGGTGGAAGTCGATGGCAGCTACCTGAGTGCTCCCGCTGCCATGGGGAGCGTGCGGCTTTCTTGCCTCCCTAGCAGTTCCTGAAATCCTTTCTGTGGAGGAAAATATTTCACTTGCAGATACCCAATTATCATGTGAAGTTTGTAAGGCAAGCCTGAAAGCCGACTGAATACAGTAGAACGATTCCTGCATAACAACTACTTAACATCCAGTCATAGCAATTATACATAATTTGTGTTTACAGTGCCTGGAAGATTAGACTCCTCCATATAGACATTCCCTCAAACAGGCCTAGCACATGCAGAGCGGAATCCCCACCTAATGCGCTCACGGGCAGCCGTGCTGTTCTTAGGAAGGGGCTCAGCCCTGTGAGGCCTGGAAAGTCTGGGCCCTCAGAGCTCAGAGTCCTGCACAGAGACTAGCCCCATCCCCAGGTCCTGGGGCATCTGGTGGGAGGAGGGATGCGTTCCTAGCCTCCCCGGTGTTCTTGTCATCGTGGCCTCCCGAGGGCTCAGCACGGCTGACGTGCTGTGGATATGGCTGGTGGGGTCTTGTCGGGGAGCGGGGGGGAACAGGGCAACTAGTTTGCTGTTTGTCCCAAGTAGGGGGACGCAAGCCTGCCCCCCTGACCCTGCCTCTCTCCACCTCACTGGAGACCGCCCTGTCCTGCTCCGTCTGCCCGAGCGTATACCCCTCACCCCCATCCTTCAGGCCAGGACCCCTGTGCGTGTCCAGCCCCTCCTAGTGGGTTGAAGTGTGGCCACTGGACATGGCAGTCATGGGGAGACACTCTCTCCAGCCCTGCAGAAACGGTGGCACCTCCATCAGCCTGTCTTCCCACAGGGCCAGGGCCGCCCTCCCCGCGGCCCTGGGAGGCCGGGCAGTGCTGCGGTGGTGCGGGTGGTGCTCTTCTGGCCTTGCTGTGCCTCTGGGGCCTGCGGCTGACCCCAGGCTCCAGCTCCAGCCTCACAGACCCACACTCAGGCCCTGCGGGGGACGCGTAGACTCTGACTCCATCACCCTGACATATACTCCTCCCCTGCAGCCTCTTCGAACACTACTGCTACTCCCGGGGCGGCATGCGCCACAGCTCCTACACCTGCATCTGCGGCAGGTAAGTGGGCTCCTGGGCCACGTCGGGGATGATTGCGGGAGGAGGTGGCGGGGAGGTGCAGGAGGCCCCCTGCTCCCCAGCTGAGACACGCCTGCCCATTCCCATGCTCACACTGGTGCCCACCTAAGATTGGAAGGGGCTCGCCCCTCCTCAGGCCCTGGGAGCTGAGGTGGCCTCTGCCTGCTGTGGCCAGTGCTGTGTGAAGGACGGGGCCCGGCTGCCTGCTGCCATCTCTCCCTTCCCGTCTCCAGGTAGCTGCTCCTGGGGCCATCACTGGCCTTCCTCACCCCTTCTACACGGGCACACACCCAGCAGGTGGGGACTGGGCTGTGACCTCGGGCTATGGCGACTTCTGTGTACAGTGGGGGTGGAAGGAGCTATGGTTGTGTATCTGTGTGTGTGTGTGTGTGTGTGTGAGAGAGAGAGAGAGAGAGAGAGACAGAGACAGAGAGAGAGAGAGAAAGAGAGAGAGACAGAGACAGAGAAAGAGAGAGAGAGAGGGAGAGAGAGAGAGAGGGAGGGAGAGAGGGAGACAGACCCCCACCCCCATGTGACTGTGTTGGGGACATTCACGGCTGTGGGCGGGTCTGGGGCTCTGCTGGGGGGTGTCACTATAGGCATGTCTGCGTGTGGCATGTTGTGGCTGGGGGCGCAGGGGCTCTGTGTGTGTCTGCGTCACCTGAATGTGGCTGGGTATACTTGGAGGCACAGGGTATCAGTGACCATAAATACAGGGGCAGCTCAGCTGATGGCCGTGATCACGCCCTTCTGTGGTCCGTGGAGGTGTGCACAGCTGTGTGGGTGTCATTGTGGCTGTGGATGTCACAATAGGCATGTCTTTGAGGCCTCATGCTGTGCCCCTTGGGTCAGACAGTCTGGCCCCCGCTCAGCCAGGACAGAGCCGGCCCTGCCGATGTGCACGTCCTCAGCACATGAATAATACATGTGAACATCTCAGTCCTTGGAAATGTTCTTCTCTGGTGGATAGAGAGAAAAATCATTATTTCTACTTTTATGATTCCTGAGACTCCCGAACGGGGCCATAAATATTACACCCAGGTGGGGTTTTCTTTTTTTTTTTTTTCCTTTGGACAGACTTAAAAGTCCTTTTTTTCTTAAAGGCATCGCTCTTCAGGGAAGCTCTCTTGAGCCAAGGAGCCAGGAGCCGCAGTGCCCTGTCTGTGGCCAGGCAGGACTCCCGGCATCCCCTGACCCAGCCCCGGCCTCCCCCAGTGGGTCTCTCCTCTCCCTTCAGCCACCAGGAAAGGACGGCCTCCCCCCAACTCCTTTCCCCAGGCCTGCAGACGCATGCTCCCACTCCATCCTTCACATGTGCTGCCCACACCGGGCCCACACCTTCAGCCCCGCGGGCACTTGTCTGAGCAGCGTCCGCCACAGAAGCCCTGTAGGCAGGGCCCCCTTGAGCCCAGAGGCTGCCCGCCAGCGTGTGACTGAGGGTACCCGGTCTGCCGTGTCACCTGCCCCCAGCTCAGGCTGTGGGCCTGGTCCAGCCACCCTTGGGTCTCTGCTGCAACATGGGCAGCACTGGGAGATTGGGGTGCCAGTTCCTGGGGCCTGCTGGCCAGGACGAGCTGTTGAGCTTCCCTGTCACCCTACAGCGGTGAGAACTCAGCTGTACTGCACTACGGACACGCCGGGGCCCCCAACGACCGGACCATCCAGGATGGAGATATGTGGTGAGTAAGCCAGCCCCTGAGCTGCCCCTGCCCCGGCTGTGGGTGAATATCGGGGCCCCGGTGGGACTCAAGCGTGACCAGCCGGGGCCTCTTGGTCCTACCCTGTGAGGGCCGGCCACAGTGAGGCCCCCAGTCCTGCTCTGGGCCCAGACTTCTCTGCCACAGGCACTGGCCTGCATGGAAGTGCTGTGGGGTGGAGGTGGGTCCCTATGGGACCATGAGACAGCGGGCTTTCTGTCCCCCAACCCCTGCACTCTGTCCTCTGCATTTAGCAGGAACCTCAGTCTAAAGCAGAGAAGACACCTAGGGGGCCTCTCTCCCTCTGACACCTGCCAGGCTCAGCCACAGGACCCCCTGGCATATGCAGCCATTAGTTCGGGAGGTCAGAGGTGGTGCTTCACCCCTAAGGCTGTTCGCAGAGCTTTTCTGAGCAGTTTGTTGTGCTCCCAGCTCTTCAAGGAGCCATGACTCAGCGTATGTGGGCGGAACCTCGCCAATGCTCTGATGGACTCTGCTCTGTTGGCAGAATCTCAGATCCTACTCTGGGGGACCCCCCCCCCCCCGGTGTGTAGGGCTTGTGCGAGGCATAGGTTCCGCTTCTCTGGGTCTCTGCTCCGGGCCTCGGGAGGGGTCTTTGGGCGCCTCACTGACCTGGACTGGCCCCCCACCCCCTGGCCTCGCCACCACCCCGACATCAGGCAGGGCCAGTCCAGGCTGCCTCAGGGCTACTCATAGCTGCCCAGAGGCCACAAGCCCCATAGGGCTGCCCTGTCTTGGCCTTTAGACATCTTGCTGTGGACACTGACCCACAGGCGAGGAGTGGGATGGGGTGTGCTCACCGTCCCACCCTGTTCTTTGGTCCCTTTCCCGCCTGTTGCCGAGGCACCTGCGCAAGGCTCCCCGAGCCATCTTCCAGGCAGTCGTGCTCCCTCCTGGGCCTCCCGTGTGCCCTGCTAGGCCCAGTCCCTGAGCTGGAGTTCCAGGGATGCCTGCACACTGGCCAGGACCCTGCCTCACGCAGGTGTAACCCAGACCTGCAGCAAGGAGTGAGGGAGCCTGCGCCCGGGCACCCCAACCCCAGACCCTCAGGGGGTATGAGCCAAGAGAGGTGCTCTGAGTTATCACTGTTGCGTGTTTTCGGGAACTCACCTGATCCCAGGGTCCCTCTACCACAGGGCACACCAGGCACCGTGACTGGCTGCTCTCCACTCATGCTGGGTCAGTAGCCGGAGGGGATGTTCTGGCTCAGGCCAGTGTTGGTAGGAGCCCATTTAGTTCCTTCTCTGAGCCTCAGTTTACTCATCTGTGAGTGGAGATGGCACATGCCTCTCAGGATTGCACAAGGGACAAGGGACTTGTCAGGAACATAAGTGCTGAGCTGAGCTGATGCACCCTCTCTCCGGGGGCCTGGGCCGGGAGCGCATAGAGGGCTATGCCCAAAGTGGCCGTGGAGGCAGCCAGGGGCACTGCTGCTCCCTGCAACCCTCTCCAAGTGTCTGACACCATTCCCGGCCTAGGGAAAGTACGCCCTGCATGTAGCAACCTTTACAGGGCCCTCCCCTGGGCCTGGCACCAGGGACATCCGCTAAGGTAGATTTTCTCGCCCTGCTCCCACGAGACTGGTATCTCCCTCTCCTCTCACCATGTGCAGGCAGGGTCATGACAGAGGAGCGTACCGTGTCCAGGCAGGGCCAGAGGGGCTTGGGGAGGGATTGACTGGCTGCCTAAGATTTGGCTCAGCTGGCGACAAAGGAAAGAGATGGGAGGGCCCTGCCCCTCTGGGCCATGGCTGAGCACTCGTGGCCCCAAGGAGAGACCTCCTGGCCTCTTCAGGGACTCCCAGCTCCTGTAATCTTTCCTAGGACAAGACGTGGGAACCCAGTCCCCAGGCAGAGGCAGGGTCCCAGCCACACTAATGGCCCCAGCTATCCTGCCCTAGGGCCATGTGGCCACTCACATCTCTTCTCTCGGAGCTCAGCACACCCCAGAGGAAGTGGCTGCTTCTCCACTCCCCTCTTTATCTGCCCCAAAGACGGGCTTCACCCCACGAGAGGCCGGTCCCAGATCTGTCCCTGGGTTCGCCCCCGATAGGATGGGCCTGGCTGACTAGGGCACAGCAGACACCAGGCCTCCACTTGGCCCAGGCGCTGTGGCCTCAGCCCTCCTGGGCAGTGCGTGGCACCTGTGTCTCCTGGTCACCGCTTTAGAGACAGAAGTGATCCGAGGAATCCCGCGGATATTATGTTAATGCCAAGCCCCGATTTTCTTTTTCTAGTGCCAACTTTGAAATGTAGCCAGTAGAATAATTATGAGTTTATTATAGTCAATTTATTATGCAGTGTTTAGAACAACATGTTTTGCTGATTACTCCTGCTGCCAGATTGCTGCCGGCGTTTATAAGCCATTGTTTTATTGAAATTGATCTGCTGAGCACCCACGGCATTCGGAAAATAATAAATCACTCTGTTATCCCAACATAAAAGCTATGGCACTTTGTCATAAGGTATGAAACCAAAATATGAGCATAGTGCAGAATGTTTCCTAAAGCTGAGTCCCCCGGTGCCTGTAACCCAGGCCCCTTTTGGTGTAGCACGTTCTGCGTTTCAGTCTCATGACGTCTTGTGAAAATGCCCCAGAGATACTTTAACCCTTAGTCATGGGGCTGTTTGGGGGCTGGAGATAGTCCAGTGGAGTCAGACCAACTGGAGAAGGTGGCGAGTGGGTGCTGAGTGAGCCCAGCCCTTTCCACCCCTCTCCCTACAATCCCCCCTCCCCGCCCCCCACAGGGCACCTGGGAGAGGTGGGGCTGTGTGATAAGTACAGAGGGCCCCACTTCAAGTCCCTGCTCTCCCGAGCTGCGTGGCCATCCCTCTGAGCCTCAGTTTCTCTGTCAGTCCTTGGGGAGTGGTATAGCATCTAGCTCTGGGAGGATTCCATGATAATAAGTGCAAAGTGCTGAGAGTGGAGCCTGGCGCAGCGTGGCCCTTGGCAGGTGAGAGCTTCAGCGCTGTGGCATCTCCCCCCAAGAACCAGCAGGCTGGGGTGTCTCCTACCTGTGCTCCAGGCCCCCGAGTCCTACCTTTCAGCAGCTGGTTCCAAGACAGGCTGGAGGTTAAGAGACCCCAAGGCCTAATTTATTCACAGCCCTCAAATCACATGGCCTACCTGCTCTGTATTTTCAACCCCAAAACAGTCCGCTATGTGTGTCCCAGGTGGAGTATGAGGCTAGCCAGGCCCACCTCCCATGCCTCTGTTCTTCCAGTTCCAGGAGCTTCCTCGGAGCTGGGCCGTGGCCCGCTACAGTCATCGCCCTGTAAGTTGGGGCCTGTAAGTTCTTAACTGCACGCCAGACTTGTCCCCTGAGAGCTGAGAAGAGCATTTCAAGGGCCACTCCTCATACTATGCCAGCTTTTTACCATGTTTCCCTGAAAATAAGACCGGGTCTTATATAAATTCTTGCTCCAACAATCTACATGTATTCATTTATTCATGTACAAAAATCTGCATTTATTCAAACAGTCGTGTCTGGCTGACGATCTTAACTGGGGCTTATGTTTGGGTTAGGGCTTATATTACGAGCATCCTGAAAAATCATGCTAGGGCTTATTTTCTGGTTAGGTCTTATTTCCAGGGAAACACAGTGTCACCTGGTGCACTTGCCGAGTCCGCCCAGAACCAGTCTGGGCTCTGAAAACTAGAGCCCGCAAGGCGGTGGAGGACTGGTGTGGTGCCTGTGAGCCACGAGGGGGCGCCATCGTCCACATTTACATCCACTAGGAAGCAGGGCAAGTAGGGTTGGGCCCACTCCTGTTCTGGTCTCCCAAGTCTGAGGCCGGCCTTGTACCACTCCCTGCCCATCCTGGGCCCGTCAGCAGGTTCACTCCATGGGGCGGAAGCAGGCAGGGGTCCAGGGCGTGCTTCCAGTGGGCTCTGATTTGGAAAACAGTTGGGACACCCCTCCTCACCTGCCGCCTCCACCCTCGGATCATGTGGCAGGAAGAGGGGTTCCTGGGGTAGGATGCCCTGTGGCCCTTCTCAGAGCCTTCCAGAGCACCAGCCTAAGGATGTCCAGGCCTGGGTTACCCAGCTGCAGGCCGGATGCAGCCGGGGTGGGTGGTGAGCTGGACCTCCCAGCACTGGCCAGAAGAGGGCAGCGTTGTCTTAGGACGTGTGGGCTGGCCCTCCTTCCTGCCGGCAGTGATCTGCTGTGTCCTGGGGAATAGGTGGGGCGTGGCCCGCCCGGGTAGAAGAGACCTGTCCCAGCCCCACGCCCAGCAGCCAGCCAGTGTCGTCCCCTTTCCATCCCTGTGGTGGGACTATGACCCCATCTGTTTCTTTGCCCTGCCCTGCTGACCCGCAAAGGTAGGGACACCGCTCACATTCACCAAAGCCCCACTTCTGTTTGCCGGGACAGATAAGGGTTACCAGTTTCCTCCCAGGGAAGCCCTTGAAGGCACCTGAATCGTTGCTGGTGTGTAGGTGGTATGTGCTTCTGCTCCCGCTGTCCATGTCACATCCTCCAGCTGAGGTGGCATCAGAGCCCTTCTCTACACAGCTGTCCCTGTGCTGTCCCATCCTTTCCTACAGCTGTGGAGACAGGCCTATGAGGGGTCATGGCCATGGCGGGCTCTTTGCCCACCTGGCCACCCGTTTCCAGCCCACACAGCACCATTACCAGCCGCCTCCTCCCTGCCCCTTCTCTCACGTTCGTTCCCTGTTAATTCTGCAGGTTTTAAGGGGCCTGGACATTAGTTTAAACAGTTTGGGAAGGTCACCTTCATCTCACCCCCTCTGTCGATGGCCTGTTTCTCCGTCACAGACAGCCTGCCCCCTGGAGGCTGTGAGGTGCCTGCTGCTCACCCAGGGCCCCAGCAGCACCACTGGCATCTCTTGGGTCCCACAGGCTGTGATGGGACAATTTTGCTCGTCCTGATGGCCGATTGGTCTGATGTTTGTCTGGTGTTTGCACACTGGGGCCCTGCTAGAGGGGCAAATCTGTG